GATTTTTCCCTCACATAATGTCACAGGGAAAAGTTTGTCGAGTGAAATCTATACAATTTAGACATTGACTACAAATTCACTTTAAGCCCTGGTTCACACTGGTGTGACTTGTCACGTGATTGACAAATCACAACCTATTTGTGTCTTTGAAGCCGTTCAGATCTGTGCGACTCTGGCTTTGTGGTGCCACTGATTTAGAAAAAAAGGTTCTTGCATTATTTTTTGTGATTTCATGTGCTACTTGTATAGATGTCTGTGCATGAAGTTGCACCGATTTCAGGCAAGTCGCACATGAATTCACACTGACCTGCGGCCTTGAAATCATGATGCTTCATGTGAAATATCGCAATTTTAAAGTCTCATTCAGTATGAACCAAACCTAAATAGTGCAGAAGGGCTAGAAACATGGGAAACCTCACCCAGCCTGGACACGGAAAGGATTGACAGCTCTTTCTCGATTCTGTGGTTGGTGGTTCTTAATTGGTGGCACAATGTGTCTGGTTAATTCCAATAAGGAACCAGACTCCTCCATCCTAACTAGTTACGTGACCCCCGGTGGTCCACATCCAACATCTTAGAGGGACAAGTGGCGTTCAGCCACACAAGATCGAGCAATAACATGTCTGTGATGCCCTTGGATGTTCAGGAATGTATGCAGACAAACCAGCGTGTGTCTACCCTTCGCTGACAGATGTGAGGAACCCCCTGAACACCATTCGTGATAGGGATCGGGGATTGCAATTATTTCCCATGAACCAGTAAGTGCGGATCATAAGCTCACGTTAAGTCCTTGCCCTTTGTACACACTGCCCGTCGCTGCTACTAATTTCTACATGTTGGATTGATTAGCTGGTACAAGCCTCGTGGGGTGCTGTATAACGCTGTGTCCCTGAGGGCTGTTTTTTTCGACAAGGGCTAGAAACCCTGTAAGCCTAGGTTCACACGTGTTGTAAAATTGCTCAGTTTTGAGCAGCGGGGCGAATCCGATGCAATTTAGTTTGAAAAACAATGAGTTTTTAATACACCTGCGTTCTTCAGATCTGCCTCCAGCAAAGGTTGTTCAGAGTCAATCTCTCTTACCTACAATTCCTATATTAATCTCTCTGCCACACAAATCGAATGCAAACATGCAATGTAATCGGAATAGATGTGAACAACAAATGCAGTTCACATTCTACTTTCTGTGGTTCCAATTCAGAATGTACTTCTCAAAAGTTGCACACAGCCCTTTTTCTGAAACATACAGCGGATTGAAAGGATACTCAGTATAAAGCTGTGAATCTGCCACCGAATAACGCATTGAAAATCGCACATTTGAACCAAGGCTAAGGTGTTTGTGGTTGTCTGTCTTCCTGTCTATGTGACGCTTGTGTCCCTCATTTCTTGCTCTGGGATCCAAGAGACATAAGGTGGGTGGAAATCTCCCCAATGGGGTCATAGCTAACAATAGAATGGGATGATAAAACACTTCTTTATGCATACAAAACTTAGAAAAATGGCAAAAGTTATGTTTAAAGTTAAGGGTTTATTTTAAGACTTACGCAAAGTGTTAGGGTCATGTTGGTACCAAGGTCCGGAAACTTGGTACCAACATTGCTTCACTCAGTGGTCAGCACAGCAGAACACTATGCCACTATGGATGAGGGCGTTTCATAGATTACGTACCATGTGCCCCCTGCTGTTTCTTATACTGTATCACATTTTACTGGACTACTTGAAGTACATGTTCTGCTGGTTTCAGGAGAGGATGGGATGGAAAGGTTATGCTTTAATCGATTAGCCGTACCCCATTCACACGTCTGTAGTTCGCTTCAACCATATGCTATGTCTTGCAGTCTGTTGGGCTTTGTGTTGTACAGATGCTTTTCTGAAAGTTTAGAGGTCATACATTGTCTATGTGAGCCGCACCCCGTAGAAGCAGCCAAATCTAGCATTAATGTAAAAGTATCTGATAGAACTGCCCATGTAGCCTACACTAGTCACATGGTTCCTTTCATGTGATTGGGAGTATAAGAAGGAAAACCTGATTGGTTGCCATTGGTATAATGGTACTGTTAACAGAGAAAACAGTTTTTTTTTTTGATCAGTAGAACCTCTAAAAAAACAAAGCAGCACTTCAAGCTAAAACACAAAATATCCGTCCAGTTGTCAGGAACAAAAAAATATAAAATGTGTTTTATAATGCATATATATTGAGTGTGTATGTGATTTTTTTGGGGGTTTTTTTTGATTTGTTTTGGGGTTTTTTTTTTTTTTTTTTTTGGGGGTTTTTTTTTTTTTTTTTTTTTACATCAAAGGCAGAAGTGTCAGGTGTCAAAGAAAGCTACAGGTTCTAGATTGAGAAAATAGATTTTTTTAAAAAAGGCATCACTTGGCAAAATTAGACAACCAGAAAAACCAATTGTGATCATTTACAATGTCCATTGTATATCAATGTCCACACAATACACATGAATAAAAGGTGAGTTCATCTTTGAGACCATGCCACCCGTTTGTAGAGTGAAACATGTAACATGTTCCCAATGCTGCAGCTGCTGCCCTCCGCCTCCCATGTCCCTGCAACCAAAAATAATAAATGCACATGTTTTTTTTACCTGCCTAAAAATGTGAATTTATCCTTTTTATACAGTCAATTGTAAACCTTCCTCTGTGATGTCAGGGATGTCTTTTACAAAAGCAATCCAAATTGTGTCAAACAGCACCTTGTGGTTCCCTTTGCATTTTAGAAGCACATTTACCAGACAGTATGGGGTATAAAAATTTTGGATGTTTGCACTCTGCAAAATTGCAGTTTATTGAAAACTCACGTTAAAAAAAAAAAAAAAAAGTAAGGTAAAAGTGCAGGGGGTGCAAGAGAAGTCAACGCATTTCAACCTTTCTCATGTCTAACCGAGACTATATGACCTAATAGTAGGTAGGTGTATATAATGTGGCATGATATATAGAGCCTTTACACATTATCCCTTAAGTACCCCTTTAATAAATTGTCATCCTCCACAATGATTCTTAAAGACCAGGACTTCTCATATCAGAATATTGCTGTTACTAGAAAATTAAGTGCCAAAATGGAAACTGGCATGTAAGCTGGACATGCAAAGCATTTTCGTAAGCGTACTACCTCCTAGTAGAGCAAAAGTGGGCATGTGTCTGATGTGATGACATCAGCCTTGTCTTGGCTATGTTTTTTCAAACACTTCTTCAGGAGTATCCTGAATTGGCTTTATAATATTCCACCCCCATTGTGTTTAGCTGGTTAGTGGGCATAGAGAAGAGAGGGAGTGGGCTGTCTTTTAGTACTGCATATACGCCCACATGTGTGACTCTATAGTTACATAGGCTGTTCAGATGTGATAGGGAAGAAATGCTCAGCTTAGACACTGAAAACTGAGCATGTGCAGTAGCTGCCAACACTGCTCTGCAAAATCCCCAACTGCATTGGAGACATGGACAGGAGGGGGGGGGGGGGGCAGAGAACAGCGGGATCAACCAGGTTTTTTCATGTACTTGTCCGAGACGGTTACATGGATCCGGTGCAAGCACCTACACTTTCTGTGCTGATTTTCTTCAGTGTCCTACAGCAAGCAAAGCAGAAATAAAACTCGAAAATCCCAAGACTATGCTTTTATAAATGTGCCAAAATGTCAGAGAGAAACTGTTCACCACATTTTAAAAGGCAAAGAGTAAGCACGCTCAATGAACTGGTAATTTTCACACCATACATTACTGAGCTGTTCCTAGCAGTAGAGGCAGACTGTTTAGATTTCCCTTGTATAAAGCAAACACATCCAAAACAGGTTGCTGCTCACCCCTAAAGGGCTGTCAACCCTGTGAGGGTAAACCTCGGGAAGGAGAATGCTTTCTGTGCTATAACAAAACCTTTTTGTGCAGAGAAACCTTTCTATGCATTTGTTGTCCTCCAGAAGGAAATATGAACCTGTAGGGTCATTGAGGTTTGTATTCAAGCTCTTGAGGTTCAACAAGGAAAACATTCTTGCTCGATTTGCCTGGTAATCTAAGAGAAACGTTTTGTGAAACATGAAATTTTCTTTCAGCCTTGGAAAGTCCTCCCAATAGAGTTTTATAGATATGGATGGTTGCTGGTTGACTGAGTCTCCCTGCCAATCAGAGTAGTCTCCCACATGGCTGCTGCTTTAGTATGAAATAAGTGGGGAGTCTAGGACTTGAACTTTGGTGTAGGGATCTCCATATTGAGGATTCAATATACCTGCATTGATTTCTCCCCAGTAAATCTGAATACTAGCACCCTCCACATTCTGTAAATCTCTATTGACTGTTCAGTGGATTTGCTACGCCCATTGGTATGTGCCCAGTGAAGGACCTGACAACATAACATACAGTTTTTCCTGGATCCATTGAGGTCACAAGGGCCTGTTCTCACCAAAAGATTGCATTGCAGTCCATTTTTAAAGTGGACTGTCGTTCTGTGTGTGCCTTCAAAAGTAATATTTATAGACCTATTCAAAATTGCATTGCATCTAAAAAAAACAAAGGATAGCACCAGGGGCGGACTGACAACTCATGGGACCCCCCCCGGGCAATAGGGGATCATGGGGCCCCTGTGTCCTTGCCCAAACACAAAAAAGCCTATGAAAAAGGTACCAGGGGCATCTCATGGGGCCCCCTACTGACCCCGGGCCCTCGGGCAGTGCCCGAGTTTCCAAATGGTCAGTCCGCCCCTGGATAGCACGTTTCATTGCTTACAATACTGCACTGCCATTTAATTGTGTGAGTTAAACCTTGCCCTCAAACTACAGAGCAACATTTTGTTGTGGTGCCCACATTCATTTCATTTCTTTCTGATTTTATGTATTCGTGTGTTTTTGCTTAAATAAAATAGGAAAATAATATTGTAAGGATGATGTAAGATTGACTCTTCTGAGACTTATCCACTTTGTATATTAATGGGATGTCCTAATGCACTGAATTGTATAATATAGTTGATAATAAGTCTTCTAATAGTTTGTTGTCTTTTCTCACAGGAGGAGAAAATATCAAAAGCATAAACCAGCAATCAGGGGCCCATGTGGAGCTTCAGAGGAATCCTCCACCCAACACAGACCCAAGCATCCGGATATTCACCATCCGGGGCATCCCACAGCAGATTGAGATGGCTAGGCATCTCATTGATGAGAAAGTAGGGGTAAGTCCATAAACAGATGAGGGGTTCAGATCATGATTCAGCTATGCAGCCCTAAAGAGGAAGCCTTTAAATCCCAATTGGACTTTGAGTCTAAATCGGCTAATTTGCAATCCACTGTTTTAGAAGGCAGTTGCATTCAGGGGTAAAAAGCCTGTCCCCTGCCAACATGCTGTAAAAGAGGGCTTTTCCTTTTTTTTTTTTTTTTTTTTTTTTTTTTTGAGTGGTCACTCTGCAGAGGTCCAGTCCACACTCTGCTTACTCAGATATAGATCTCTGCTGTCAACATAATTTTCATTCTCTATGCTAACTGGGGAGCTTAGACTCAGCAAGGGGGCATTTCAGACCTGCCTAGCTGTCAAACTGACACTTCTGCTTCAGTGCGGTTTGTAAGTGATCTTGAGAAATTAAGCAGAAAAGGACTTGGGACTTTTTCATTTTAGTTGTATTTATGCTTTAGTGTGGCAGGTGTTCCTTTTTTTTTTCAATAAGCTGAAAGCAAAATGTGAGTGAGAAGCCTTAAAGTGTTACTAAACCCCGGACCCTGCATTTCACTATATCTCATCAACAACAGTACACAGAACATGGAAATGCAATTATTTTTAGTAAATATAAACTGCAAAAATACCTTTTCTCATCAGCAGTTAGAGCTGTCTTGTGACTTCTATCAGTGTTCATCAGAGCACTGGTTAAAGCTTGAAGGAGGAGTTTTCTCTAGGAGGATGCAGAACCCCTGACCTCTGCCTGGGCAGTGCTGATTGGCGCTGTGCTGATCACATGCACGCTCCCAAGAGAAAAATAATAACCTCTCTAGCAGTACACACCATGTGCAGAATGTCTCCACACGATTTGTCTTATCAGAAGATAAGAGGGGGACACTGGAAGAAGGGGAGGATCAGAGAAGGCAGGATCAAACAGCATTTTTACACAATGTGGAAGATTAACCCCTTAGGTTCCACAGTGAGTATAACAAGCAAGCGTTACTGCATATACAGACTAATTTTACTGTTGTGGGTTTAGCAACACTTTAACCGAAAGCCTTTCTGTGACACCCAGGCTGCATACTGGTTTCTGGGCATTGAACTGGCTCACATTAGAACGGAGAAGATTCATTTTTAATGCCCTTCTCTAGAATGCCCTACTTAAGTCCATGGGCAGCTTGCATCTGATGCTTTCACCCAGGTACTTTACACCTTGTTAGAGGCCCTTTCATGTGCTGCTCAGGTCTTCTGTCTGAAGAGAGCTAATGATGCTGAAAGACAATATTTGCCATCCTTTGTGTTGCTACTTAGCTGCACTCAGCCAGCTACAACTGCTTCTAGCTCAGAAAGGATCTTTTGCTCAAGCATTTCCTGTGCTGTTGTCACTAAAATGTCTGTGTTCATCCTTTTAGGGCACAGCAATCAGCGGTCCAAGCAGCTACGGGCAGAGTCCATTCAGCCAACCGCACGCGACACCTCATCAAAAGTGAGTGAGTTTTGCATGATCCCTGAATTGAGGTCACACTTTCATTCATATTAGTGCAGTATCATTATACCAATCATACACTGCTAACTTGTATCTGAATGTTAAAATGTTAAAATGCAGTTTCATATTTAAAGTCCCTGGGATATTCCCTCTCACCCTCAGACACGGTTTTGTCCATTTGAATGATTTTGGACGAAAGCTGTGTACTAACGAACAGATTATCATATGATCTCTTTGAGAGTAGTATTTTTTTGTCTGTTTTTCTGATTGTGTGCTAGGCTTTACTGGATTTTCTGACCCACATACATCAGAATGGGTTTAATAAAGCTTCACAACACACCCCCGACTGTGTATTCTGTTCTTTTCAATAGTGCTTTCACTTCAGTGTTTCCACATCTTCCACTAAAATCTTCATCTCATCCCGTGTACATCCCCCAAAAAAAAAAAAAAAAAAAAAAATCATGTAGTGCAGTCATTTTGAAATTACCATTAAAAATTTACTATATGGTGCGCACATATGTATGTGACAATCACCAGTGATATGTGATTTCTCATCCCTCCTGCTTATCTTCTTGGCAAACATCCGCTTTTGTAGGTTATCAATTCACTTTGAATCCACGTTCTCCTCAGAATCCTTCTTTTCTCATTGTCACTCAAGAAGAAAATAGCTAAAATAGTGTATTATCACCACAACTAATGTACACCAAATAAATTGTGCTTGCAATAAACCATGCTCCATACAGTGCAGTTTGGGAATTCATCGGTACATGCCGCCATACACCACCCCCTTGTGCACAAAACTCCTTACCAGACAGTAATATCAAATCTGATACTCCTCTTGTATATCACTTCAGTTCCCTTATTACACAGACTTCCAATGAGTGAATGATGTATAGGACATAAAAGAAACATTTAAAAACACTTTACCATAAAACTGCTTACATAGATGAAGATATGCAGGTTTCCAATATTCAAGATGGTGGAATGGGCATTTCCAGTTCCAAGGTCAGCATCTGACATCACTTCCTGACATGTTGCATCAATATGTTAAAGTAATGGCTCGCCATGGGCAGTGTCTGGCCTCTGTCTAATCCTTCCCTACACGATCCACAAAATAAGTAAAAAGTATCCAGAGACCACGATCTGGTAGGGTATTTTTTTTTTTTTTTTTCTTTAACACCTCCTCTATTCAAAACTTACAAAAATAATTTGGCTATACAAACGTTTAAGGAAATAGTTTAGAGCTTTGGTGTTGAAGAAGTGGGGGTTGTGGATAAAAATTAGATTAATGTTTGTCGTGTTGTGAGTGACATAGAAGGTTAAGGCTGGGGTAGGTCTAAAGCTGGCCATACAATAATTGCTCATTGAAGGAAAAGAAAAATGAGCCAGTTCCCCCATCTACATATTTGAGTTGAATGGGTGAATCACTCCCGCTTTGCTGTTGTGTTCTGACGGTAGGGAACCTTCCCTGTCATCAGAATACACTGATCTGTGTTGCCAACTAAGCCAAAGGCACTGATCATTCAGTAAACACAGGCTGGTTGTACAGAAGTTGATCGGTAGATCCAGCCATGCCCCATACATGGATCTATATTAATCTGGTCGCTGCTGAACTGGCCAGTCCATGTATGGCTGACAGTGTGTGTTGGAGTGAATTATGTGGTTTTACTGCTAGACACTTTTCTGCTGCAGAAGTTTAAAGTGGACTGGCCCAAAAAATAAAATGTGACCAGACACCACTGTTCGTACATTATATGGATATCGGAAGGGACCATTCACTTTCTAGGATGGCAATAAAAATAACTGGAGCTGGCTCCTATGGGAGAGCTGGTTAACTTTACAGAATGCCCCCCGATCAACAATAGGAGCTGCATATCCTGCATTTGCTGAGTGGGTCTGGTTTAATTTTTGGATAAGCTCAGAACTGGGCTTTAGCTAGTTTTTGGTGCTGAGAAGTAATACACCAAGCTCTTGGCACAAAATAAGCATTGTTTTGATGCATGTGAGCAACTTATACAATTTGTCTGGTACAGTGAGACACTTAGCATTTACAGGAAGAGAGGAGGGAAAAAATAAATATATAGTACACCACAAGTTAAGTGAATAACATTGACCTCATTATAATGGCATTGGGATTTATTGGGCAGGAAATAAACATGTTGTCCCTGAAGTTGTGTTAAAAGCAGAAAAAAATTAGAATCGCAGTTTGTTGTGTATGGGGCTCTGTAGCCACAGACTGGTCAGGGTGCCCATTGCTGACCTGTGTCCACAGCTGGAAGCACCTACAATGGGTATGTGAGCATCAGATCTGGACCATGGAGCAATTGCTGCTCAGTCATGTATATTGACTGAAGAATGTTGCTGTGCTACCCCATCAGTATTAGTCATATTCCAGGCATTTTGATTAAGAATGGTAAATACTGGATTTAGAATATGTTTATGGTTGGGGGTTACTTTAGTCCCATGCAGATTTTGACTGTCATCTTCCTCTCTTTCTAGCGGTCCTCAGGCGTTTTTAACGCAGGGTTGGGGTAGCACTTACCAAGCATGGCAGCAGCCTGCGCAGCAACTTCCAGGTGAGTGGTTGTTTTGGACGCTCCAAATTTATTAAAGTGGACCTGTCCGTGAAAACACTTGACGTAAAGCAATAGTAAACTTACAGCATTACCAAATATTTTGAAGTGACAAACTTCTTTCATGTTATCAATTAAAAACTATGTTCAATTCTTTACTCACCAGGCCTTGGCAGCTTAGTTTACATGGTCTCTGGCTAACAATCTTAACTGCTGACTGACCAATCAGCTATGATATGGCTGCCATCATGCACATATAAAACCACAAGCTATACATAGAATAAAGTTGTGGTTTTTTTTTTATAACTTATATTGATAGGATTGTTTACATCAAGGTGATTGCTATACATTGATATCTTAAAGCAGAGGTCTCTAAACTTTCTAAACAAACTGCCGGTTTACTGTCCTTCAAATTTTAGGAAGGCTGGACTGTGACCAGTGGCAGAAGAATAAGTCCTGGCGTCAGTGGAAGTAAACAGTGCCCCATCATTGGTATTAAGGGGAGGAAAACGTGCCCCATCTTTGGCCCCATCAATGGGAGGAAACGTGCCCCACCATTGGTATCAATGGGAGGAAACGTGCCCCACCATTGGTATCAATGGGAGGAAACGTGCCCCACCATTGGTATCAATGGGAGGAAACGTGCCCCACCATTGGTATCAATGGGAGGAAACGTGCCCCACCATTGGTATCAATGGGAGGAAACGTGGTATCAATGGGAGGAAACGTGCCCCACCATTGGTATCAATGGGAGGAAACGTGCCCCACCACATTGGTATCAATGGGAGGAAACGTGCCCCACCATTGGTATCAACGGGAGGAACGGAGGAAACGTGCCCCACCATTGGTATCAACGGGAGGAAACGTGCCCCACCATTGGTATCAATGGAGGAAACGTGCCCCACCATTGGTATCAATGGGAGGAAACGTGCCCCACCATTGGTATCAACGGGAGGAAACGTGCCCCACCATTGGTATCAACGGGAGGAAACGTGCCCCACCATTGGTATCAACGGGAGGAAACGTGCCCCACCATTGGTATCAACGGGAGGAAACGTGCCCCACCATTGGTATCAATGGGAGGAAACGTGCCCCACCATTGGTATCAACGGGAGGAAACGTGCCCCACCATTGGTATCAACGGGAGTATCAATCAACGGGAGGAAACGTGCCCCACCATTGGTATCAACGGGAGGAAACGTGCCCCACCATTGGTATCAACGGGAACGGAATTGGTACGTGCCCCACCATTGGTATCAACGGGAGGAAACGTGCCCCACCATTGGGGAGGGAAACGTGCCCCATTGGTATCAACGGGAGGAAACGTGCCCCACCATTGGTATCAACGGGAGGAAACGCGCCCCACCATTGGTATCAACGTATCAACGGGAGGAAAAACGCGCCCCACCATTGGTATCAACGGGAGGAAACGCGCCCCACCATTGGTATCAACGGGAGGAAACGTATCATTGGTATCAACGGGAGGAAAGCGCCCCATCATTTGTATCAACGGGAGGAAATAGTGCCCCATCATCGGTATCAACGGGAGAAATAGTGCCCCAACTATCAACGGAGAAATAGTGCCCCATCATTAGTATCAATCATTTGTATCAGGGAGAATCATGCCCCATCGTTGGTATCAATGGGGAATAGTGCCCCATCACAACGGGAGGAATCATGCTCCATCGTAGGTAGGATGAGGGAATAGTGCCCCATCACAAGATTCACTAGGAGGAATAGTGCCCCATCCATCCTTACTATCAATGAAAGGAATAGTGCCCTATCATTAGAGAAATAGTGCCCCCATCATCGGTATCAATGGGAGACATAGTGCCCCATCATCGGTATCAATGGGAGACATAGTGCCCCATCATCGGTATCAATGGGAGACATAGTGCCCCATCATCGGTATCAATGGGAGACATAGTGCCCCATCATCGGTATCAATGGGAGACATAGTGCCCCATCATCGGTATCAATGGGAGACATAGTGCCCCATCATCGGTATCAATGGGAGACATAGTGCCCCATCATCGGTATCAATGGGAGACATAGTGCCCCATCATCGGTATCAATGGGAGACATAGTGCCCCATCATCGGTATCAATGGGAGACATAGTGCCCCATCATCGGTATCAATGGGAGACATAGTGCCCCATCATCGGTATCAATGGGAGACATAGTGCCCCATCATCGGTATCAATGGGAGACATAGTGCCCCATCATCGGTATCAATGGGAGACATAGAGCCCCATCATCGGTATCAATGGGAGAAATAGTGCCCCATCATCGGTATCAATGGGAGAAATAGTGCCCCATCATCGGTATCAATGGGAGAAATAGTGCCCCATCATCGGTATCAATGGGAGAAATCGTGCCCCATCATCGGTATCAATGGGAGAAATAGTGCCCCATCATTGGTATCAGTGGGAGAAATAGTGCCCCATCATTGGTATCAGTGGGAGAAATAGTGCCCCATCATTGGTATCAGTGGGAGAAATAGTACCCCATCATTGGTATCAATGGGAGAAATAGTGCCCCATCATTGGTATCGGTGGTGGTGCCCCATCATGGTATCGGTGGGGGAATGGTGCCCCATCATGGTATCGGTGGGGGAATGGTGACCCATCATGGTATCGGTGGGGGAATGGTGCCCCATCATTGGTATCGGTGGGGGGAATAGTACCTCATTGTCGATGTTGGTGGGAGAAACTATGCCACACTGTTGCTTGCTTGCAGTGGGAGGAATAATGCCTCGATGGCTGTATAAAAGCATGCAAAGGGCCGCAGTTTGGAGACCACTGTCTTAAAGGATTCCATTGCCAATGTTTACAGAAATCACAGCCAAAGATGAACTATTAAGCATACTGCAATGGGGCATAATCTGGGGAAGGTCAAGCTCTGTGCCATTTTCCCCAGTTATTATTGGGTGTCATCATTATGTGTGTTTCACAGCTTAGGTATAGTGGTGCGAGTCTGCTAATCTCAGTCCACATCTCGGACACCGTTACAGTTGTTTCACTGATTTCTGCATTTATTAGTGCTTAAAGGATATGGTTGATCCCAGGATTCCACTTGTTTTAAATACAAAAAACACCCAGAGCACCAGAGCTCTTTTTTATAGATCTGCTCAAAAGTTTGCATACCCTTGGAGAATTGGTTATACAGTATGTACCATTTTGAAAGAAAACATGAGCAAGCAAAACACATTTTTTATTTTTTTATGGAATTCATATTCAGCTATAGGTCATAACAGAATGGCACAATCATAAAACAAAACATGGCAACAAGTAAACAAATTAAATGACCCCTGTTCAAAAGTCTGCATACCCTTAGTCCTTAATACTGTGTATTGCCCCCTTTACTGTCAATGACCGCATGCAGTCTTTTGTAATAGTTGTCTTATCAGGCCCCAAATTCTTGCAGGTGGTAACTGCTCATGCGTGTTGCATGGACCACACATTTGAGATCTCACCAGAGTGTCTCGATGATCTTAAGGTCGGGAGACTGCAGGCATTATGCTTTTGTTGTGCTGGAAAGACAAGAACTTCCCATGTGCAGCATTTCATGCAGAAGAATGCATATTGTCTGACCAGATATTTTTTTAAAACCTGCTGCATTCATCTTGCCATCAATTTTCACAAGATTCCCCGTTCCTTTAGAGCTCTTCCACTTCCTAATAGGTGATTGAACAGTACTTTCTGGCGTGTTCAAGACTTTGGATATCTTTTTATATCTTTTTCCATATTCTAAATTTTGATTGCTTAGTTACGCAGGTCTTTTGACAGTTCTTTTCTGCTCTCCATGGCTCTATATCTACCCTGCTCAGTGCATCCACATGAGAGCTAACAAACTCATTAACTATTTATACACAGACACTAATTGCAATTTAAAAAGCCACAGATGTGAGGAATTGACCTTTGATTGCCATTTTAACCCGTGTCACCTTGTGTGTCTGTACGAGGGCCAACCATTTCAGGGTCTGTAAACTTTTGATCCGGGCCATTTGGGCGATTTCTGTTTTTATGATTTAACCACTTGACAACCGGGTTGTAGCCAAATGACTACAGCGTGGTTGTCCAGTTTTGGGAGGGCGTCATATGACGTTCTCCCAGAACACGCCTCCAGCGGCGTGCACCCACCGATCTCCGTGATCGCTGTGTCTGACAAACACAGCTGATAACGTGATGTGGTAAAAGGCCAATCACAGCTGCCTTTTACCAAGGGATCAGCTGTCGCAGCGTGAGGACAGTACTGCGGATAACCGGCAATTGTCAGAAAACAGATGTTCCCTGATGATCAGTGCCCACCCAGCAGTGCCCCCCTCCCGTCAGTTGTCATAATTGCTGCATATCAGTGCAGCATCATCAGTCCCAGCTCATCAGTGCTGTCTATCCGTTCCACCTCATCAGTGCCTCCTATCAGTGCCCATCAGTACAGCCTTATCAATGCACATCAGTGAAGGCGAAAAATTACCTGCTTTATAAAAATTGTGTTTATAGCACAAAAAATAAAACACCCAGTGGCAATCAAATGTCACCAAAAGAAAGCTCTGTGTGAAAAAAATGATAAAATTTCATATGGGTACAGTGTTGCATGACCATGCAATTGTCATTTAAAGTGCGACAGCGCTGAAAGCTGAAAATTGGCCTGGGAAGGAAGGGGGTAGAAGTCCCTGTAGGCAAGTGGTAAAAAGGAGCCAAACAGCTATGTGATAATAAATAGCCTCATATGATCACTATCCTTAAACAAGACAGTTTTTTTTGGCATGATCAGTCATAGTTTCAATATCATCAATGCCAACATTTCTGGCAGAGTATGCAAACTTTTGAGCACAACTATACTATAGTGATCTTTACTATTTTTCAGTGCACTCTGGGTGCTTTTTGTATTTGAAAGTGAACTGGCCAAATTGAGACCAAGAACAGAAAGGTTTAAAGGATTACAAGTTTGTAAAGAATGCACAAATCGGTGAAGACTTGTTGTTAGTTTCAAATCTGTAA